TATTTGGTAATTGAATAGATATACATTGAAGTTGGTCTCATTATAACTCTAGAAAACAGATATCTAACATCTGCTAGAAAGCCCTACATTTGATGTTTTATATAACAAGCCCATTCGGAATTCCTTCTTATATGCAGATGTATTTGCAATCCAAGACCTATCCAGCGTGAGTTAATGTTTCAGGTCGATGACCTTTTGTCAGAACTGCAAGTATATATTATTGTTATATCCCCAAAAGTCAGGATCCGTTGGAAAAATCTTGTTGCATCAGTGAAACAGGTATTGTCCAATAGGTTTGGAATGATCTTGAGCTCGCTGTCATATACAGTAGAGCAAAATGTTTCTGTGCAACTGTATCAGGCCTACAGTGGTGCCTGGGTGGTAAGGTATGATATTAGCACTTGTATTGAATTGCAGATGCACAGGTTGTAAGAGTTGTACTACTAGGAGGTAAAAAGGAAATTTAGCTGCCAGAATCCCTGTAATCCTTCTGTGACTTTACATATGTTAGGCACTAAGACTCCCAGGTAAGAGATTCCTGGATTCCTAGGTACGCCTGCCTTAAATCTGCACTATGTTGTATCTTCACCCTCGGGTCAATCCCTAGAGTTGATGCCCTAACCTGACTCGAGTCTAAAACCTCTTACTGGTAATCTACCAGATTGGTTACATTTCACACTCATTTGGCTATTTGTCACACTGCGTATGTGTTTTCTTTTTTAAAAAAAAGACAGTAGTATAAAGCACCCCAGAGCCAGTTTCTAAACAGTAACATAACCCAGTGTGAAAACTTACAATTAAACGTGTTTATTAGTCCACTTTTGACATTAATCGAGAGGAGCTCGGAATAGAAACGCTAATTGCTAATGGAATGCTCGGAATAAATAGGTTTGAATTTGTGACAGATTTATGGCTAACATGCTGTTAAAACACTAAACATATGGTTGAGCAGGTGCCTTTAAAACTTTTCATGGAAAAAATAGTTTTACACATAGCATTTGATGGCTTCCTACAGCTTTAGACCTATTTACCAGAGCTAAGTTCAATACGTTTCACAGATGTTTCCTTGAAGGCCTTAAAAAACAATATAAACTGGAGACTAAATGGCCTCAACTATCTGTGAGGCATCCCACCATCCACCTTAATGGTTCCTAATGGAAGTTGGGCTCTGTACCTTAACTGTCTAAATTTGTTTTAACCATACAAATGCTTTAAGGGCTTTGTTATAATATAGGTGACTGACCTGTTACCTACACTTAATTGTAAAGAAAACAATTCCCCCTCTCCCGATTGTCCTTTGAAAAAAAAACTAATTTGTGTAATGATACCCAGCAAGACAGACTGATATTGCGAGCAAGTCCCTTTTCTTCACAGCTCACAGAACAGTATTGACCATTGCCGTGGAGAGGTCTGTGGTGCAGAGAACTCCCTCGCTTGTTTTGTCCAAATCTAATTTTGCCCTTATCGATCATCCAAACGCTTGCACTTTCCCACAGGAGTCAATGACCAGCGATGAGCGGTGGATACCCTGACTTTTTTTTATCCTCTCTAATCCACTGAGGCCAATAGTAACACCTGGACTGATTTCCCAGCTGGGATCAGCTAATTCAGCACAGACTGTGGATTGAATCTCGGGCCTTCCAGATCTGAATGACTTTGTTCTACATTAGGATCAAAGGACAAGTTTGGATGAAGTTCTTTTGGGTTATTTTATTGACATCCTTCCAGCAGACCAAGTCTGCTCTCTTTCCCCATTGCAGTATTGATCAGTTTCCTGAACGAGTCCAGTGTTCTCGACCACTCCTTTGTTGATTACCCTGTTTGTAAATACTTCCTGGCATCTCTTAAACGTGGCACTTTCAATCTTGAACCTGTGCCCTCTTATCTTAGGCAGTGCATTTACCAACCCGGGGGGCACGGGTGTATTGGCAGAAATGTTCCACATGAAGAAAATTTCAATTTCTACTGAATTCTGAGACAGCCTGAGGTTTTCGTATCTTCCCAAAAACTAGTTGGAGGATACTTCAAATAGCTGTTCTTCTCATGAGATCTTCTACACTTAAGTATCAACAAGCTATTGAATGGTGGAAAACCATGCAGCAAACCCCAATCCTGTCCTTGTCTGATGCTCTTATAAATGCACTCAGCAGCAGGCATTCTTGAATAGGGATCAGGAAGAGGAATGTCTTTTTCTCTGTCTTTCTCACCCAGAGGTTTTGGAGCCAGTTCCTACTACCTTACTAGTGCCCTGAATTGAGATGAGCGAGTGAGATGAGTGAACCCACGGCCAATCTGGGCATTTGCCTCTAAACCTCTCATCATTTTCACAACTTTTACTGTCTCCCAATATGGAATTTTGGCACAACTGACTCTTATGTATTTTATATCACCAAAAAGGCAAAGTCTGGGGCCAGAAGAATTTTCCTTTACAAAATGAGTGGTTAAGACATGGAATGCCCTATTTACAGTGGTTGAATCCACATTCGCTTTTAAGAGAGAATTTGATAACTATTCTGAAAAATAGAATTGGCAGGAGAATGAAACTAAATGGCTGTTCTTTCAGAGAGCCTGCACAGGTACAAGAAAGCAAATGACCTCTTTTTGTGCCTTAAATTTCAAGTTATATATATCCACATTAATAAATGCTAACTAAATAATAATAATCCTTGCATTTGATATAGCGTTTTTCATGTCTCCCAAAGTGCTTCACAGAATATACTGTAAAGTGAATTGACTGTATATTTGTGGGTGAACGCGGCAGCCAATTGCGCACAGCAGTGTCCCACAAACAGTTGTAGATTGAAAATGACCAATTTATTGTTTTTGTTTTTTTGGAGGTATTATTAGGCGTGTGGAGTAAGGAAACTTGCCCAAGGTTTCGCCCTGACCTGCCTGGAATTGAACTCAGGTCTCTCGCTTGCAAAGCGAGTGCTCTAACCACTGAGCTACAGGACTCCACAAATAAATAAATTGAAAAGACTCCACCATTCAGAACATCCTTGTTAGACTTGGGTGAGTTTTGTCTGTTCTTGGCCATCTCACCAGAAACAGTAAAAGAAAATTGTTCAGTAATGACGGGACACAGCACAATTTGAATTCTCCTTATTGCTGGCCACTTGCAGGTGATCGCGACTGCAGATATCTGTGCCAGGATTGTTCTTACGGTTGGAATTGAGAGATGTTTCTACATAATCTTTTTTGATTTAATAATAATAATCCATGCATTTGATACAGCACCTTATGTGGTTGAGACATCTCAAAGCGCTTCACAGAATATATTTTGATATTGATTTGCATTACACAGGCAAGAACCTTGAATATCTAGACCAGAATTTCCTTTTCCCTGTCCATTCATGACTGGCTGATTCTCTGGTAACGAATAAGCTGGAGATCAATACAAATGTAGTGATACAGTATTTGGTTTCACAAACACAAGCAGAGAGAAATCGAGATAGAATTAGCCAGAAATGTGAAATATATGGAAAGGAAATGAGATTGCCAAGAAACATATTTCTCAATTTATTTAATGCTAACCTGCTAGCTCCCCTTATATTTACAAGGGAGCTGGAGCCGATTAAAAACAGAGCATGGAATCTTAACATTTTGACTGAAGTTGAAAGAGTACTTGTTTCCACTTTATAAAGAATAGTTTTAAGTCCATTGAAGAGCACCTGGCTAGTTTGGAATTACAGTACATCTTTAAAGTGAAAGAAAATAACCCATAATGAGGCTCTGTAAAGCTTTCTCGTAATCCTCTACATTTTGCAATATAAAAATTCAACCAGTGTTTTTAAAATGCAAATTGGATATTTTGTGGTAATTGCAAGTGTACGCCCCAAGGAGTTGTATTAAGTGCAGAAGGGACAGTTTTGATCTAACTTTTTTAAGCAGAAGATAGTGAATGGGGAAAGAGGATAAAATGAAAGTTAATAAGCAATTGTCATTTAGAAAATGAGACTGGCTGGACACACTGTGAAGGTCTGTTCCAGGGTTGTGCATTCTCATGAGCTGCAGAATAACTATCTGTACTAATGTTGTTGATTATCATTTTAAATAAATGATAATAAATACATATGGAAGTTATTCTGTCTTTTGAAATGTAAACTGACTTAATGGACCTTGAACTGATAAAGATGCTCCTTGGGATGGCTGTGTCCAATCTGTAAAGATGTTTTGTGGCTATCAAGGTGCAGCCTGTAATTTATCATCGGCAGGTTGTTGTAGACTAAGTGACCCACTGAAGTTTCATGTATCAAATCTATTTTGGAACTGTAATTAGAATTAACTGTGTTATGGACTTAATAACCACTCAAGACAGAACAAAGATGAGATTCTGAAATTCAGCACTGAGCTTTGGTGCTAGTGAGGGGTGGCCAAAGGTTCCTTATCTGAGCCCGAATGAGTACACAAGCACCAAGTGGAGGCTCTGGCATCTCTCTGAGGTCTGAGAGGTGTTTAGCATTGGGCCAATTTCAGGGGTTATTGTTTGGGAGCTGACACCAGTATCCGTTCCCCCCCCCCCACCCCCGAGGCTTCATCCTGGCAGATGAATTTGAGGTGAGGAAATAAAAGGGAAGCTTGCCAGAATAATTTCATAAATGAAGTAAAACTAAACCATTGGGAAAATTGTCAATTACATTTATTGAATAACAATATTGTGCTGAAGGCTTTAATTTCAGTATGAAGGTGTATAAAAGGTCCTTGTAGGCTGGAACCCAATGTGTTAAATTTGTAACCATTTTTATAGATTGTTCTAACTTTTAGGTTGTTGCACATTTTGGGTGGAAAGAATATTAATATATTGTAGAGAGTAAAGGCAATTGATGATTTCTGGATTATAATTGCCATGTAATTGCAGTGAGATTGACAGAATTAAACTAGTCTTCAGCAGCGAACAGCTCTCAGAGGATGTTGTCCATAATTTAAAACCCTGAAAAAAATCAGAATCTGGGTAGAAGCATGTATTTGTGATTGCAGAACATAAGGGCACAAGTACAAATTAACCCACAAGAAATATGTATGTTAAAGTGATTCCCTCCTAGAAAGATGTATGGAGGTAGATGCTGGGCGGAAAGGGAAGTCACCTATTAAATATGTCTGGTTGAATATGTATGTATATATGAATATACATCATGATCCTTTACAGAACATACTACTTCTGAAAGGAAAAGGACTATTACAGGATTTTTTTATTTTCACAGTTGTCATTACAACTGTCAAAGTAATTAAACATTTAGATTACTTTTTTTATTTCAACAGAATTACAGACAACAAAATAATTTATTTCCTAGAAATCCTCATGGTTTAGGACATGTCAACCTGCCCTAACACATACACAATAACGAAGGATAATTTGTCTGTACAGTGCAAACATGCAAGCTTGATACATTTACACTAAAACACAAAATTACATTAAATTCAGCAATACAAACTCCCTAAATCTAGATTTGTTTGAAAAAAAAACAGGTCTTAGTTTCTCTATAAAGCAAAATGTAATGTACTGCTTTGCTTTACTCCATGTAATGGATTGGTATTTAACATGTAATCAAAACTACATTATTTATAAACAGATCTTACTCTTTGGCAATGGTCAGCAACAATGAATATTCAATAGTGCTGGGGAGAAGATGGGGAACAAAATACAAAGTATCCTCTTTAGAATCTTCATTAGATACAGGTTTGTTTATGTTAGGAAATTAAAAAGTTTCAAAAGGAATTTCTCTAGATTTGTTTGTAGATAAAGCTAGTTATTATTTTAGATTATTGAATGAAATACTTTAGACCCATGGATTTGTGGATTTCAAAGAGCAAAACAATCTGGGTGCACAGAAGTGTTTGAAAGTTTTGGGAGATAAACTGGATGTGGAAGAACCACTGACTCTACACATTGTAGTGTACACATTTACTATAGAATTGACTTCATGTATAGACTGCTGGTATATTCCACTTTAGAATCGGCAGTAGCTAACTCAACTGTTTTTCCTTTCTTTGCTCAACTCCAGTGTATGGGTACAATTGACTTATAATAATAATAATCCTTGCATTTGATATAGCGTTTTTCATGTCGGGAGGATGTCCCAAAGCGCTTCACAGAATATACTGTAAAGTGAATTGACTGTATATTGTGGGCGAACGAGGCAGCCAATTGCGCACAGCAATGTCCCACAAACAGTCATAGATTGAAAATGACCAATTTATTGTTTTTGGTTTTGGAGGGATTATTATTAGGCTCTGTGTGGAGTAAGGAAACTTGCCCAAGGTTTCGCCTCTGCCTGGAATTGAACTCGGGTCTCTCACTTGCAAAGCGAGTGCTCTAACCACTGAGCTACAGGACTCCAAACTTATGACAAATAATAGAAGTATGTAATTTTTATTTAGCTTTTTACAATTAGGTCCTTAAGCCCCTTTTATAAATTGTAGTATTATCTGCTTATGTTCAGTGTAATTATGATTAATTGTCTTAAGGCCTGCTGTAACCACAGCACACTTACATGTTCTATGGATCAAATGTGCACTTCAGATACAATAGGTCTAACACTTGTGGAAAGTTAGTTGCACGCTGTGACCTCCTAACAGGTTGTCTGGATGCTTCTTACTCACTTTGTTGAGGGAATCTTTTGATAAGTTATCAAAAATATTCAGAATTTTAATTTCACTTTAATATTTCGTTTCCAGGTCTAACTTTCCAAGAACACCTTTACAAGGTGATAATTGGGCAAATAAAAGCCGCAAAGTGCAAGGAAGAGGGGAAAAAAAGCATTTAATAACACTTAAAAGTAGCACACCAAACACTTGTGCAATACTCCATTTTCTAATGTTCCACTTGCTGCACGGCTATTGGGAACATTTTTGAAGAGGTGTGCGCAGGCGTATAAGTAAGAATTGGGGAAAGCAGCACTTCATGCAGCACACAAAGAAGGTCTACAACTGACATCTGGAATATAACAAAAGCTAATGGGAAAGTCAGTGGGTAAATGCAGTTGATTTGCTGCTGATCAACCTTGGTGTTTGAGTTTTTTTTATATAACAGATTTTCCCATTTCTAAGCAGGTTTGGGTACTCTTTAAGGATGATGATGGGTTTCTGCAGTTGTGTTAGACACACAGCTGACCAAAAAAAAAACTGACTCAAAGAATCCGAGGATCTCTCTGTAGAAGTTTGAAAGGCAGCACTGTACATTTTATTTGTTTTAAGCTTAGCCTGATTCACATTAGTTGTAGTTATACATGTACATATCCACTGATATTTGACCACCTCCTTCCTCTAGATAATTTTGCGATTGATGCCAAATGTTTTACACTGCATATTTGGTGTCTAGTGGTGTGATCTTTTGCACTGCAAGTGATGCCAACCACCATATAATTGGGGGATAAATAAATCCAATCCTGAACACAGAGGGAAAGGTGCAAATTCTTTGATTGTCAGGTAATGGGTCTTTTGAAAAAGCAAGTTTTCTTAAAAAAAATAATTTTGCAATGCAGAGGGATAAAAATATATACAGCATTAAAGAGCAATCAGCATGAATCAACACAATAACACGGTCAGAAAGTGACTGCAATAGTCCATTAGTGGATATATTATATGATCAAGTTATTTCTGCAGAGAAACAAGGCTTTGTGCATTTTTAGAAAAAACATAGCCTCTTATTTCAGCCTAGAATCCCCTCAATTCCTTTTCCCAGCTCATTTACTGCTCCCTGAATATGCTCACAAAGGGAATCGAGAGGAGCACATGTGCAATATTGGTCCTCTACAGCCTTGTTCCAGAAGGGTTCTTGTAGCAGCCGATGAACACAAATACAATTTCTTCTTCAAAGAGCTGACAAACACTATTTACAATAAGTGTACACTTTTTATATACACATACCAAGTACTGTCTACAGAAATGAGGCAGGAGTAACCTTCCTTGGTCAATGTTGCGCTCCATTCAGCCACTGATACCCATCATGAACGATTCTTCAAAATTATAGGTACTGTGAAGGGAACAGAATGATGTTTTAAATCAACGCACCAATTACAATGCAAATATTAACACATGCTCTAGGAAAATTGCTGGCGACTTTCCTTATTCTCTAATGCAAAACTTATCTACCAGCAAACATGAAAGGGGGCTCCATAAAATTGAAAATAGAAAAATACATTTTTTTTAAAAAAGTCCAAAATAGAAGTTTACTTAACGTTTACTGTTTTCTTAAAATCAGATGAACTTTATCGGTTGTCCAGAAAATTACTTTGAACCTGCTATTTAACTATCTAAACGTGCATTCCGGCACCTTGCCAGTAGAGAAGTCGCTGCAGGTTTGCTTTTCAGTGTCTGTTGCCTTGAGCAGAGCTATTTTCACTTATACCAAAAGGACAAAAATACTTGCTATAATTTGCAGTAATTGTGAAGTGCTTGGACATATTTTCAATGTGACCAAGGAATTATAATAAGTGTAATCAGTTATGAAAAAAATATTACATTTGATATTACAAAAAATAGGTGGCAACAAAGTCTGGTTGATAAATATCAGAATTTCAATTGAATTACTGCTTTCTACTCTGCCTTTAGGTATTTCTCCACTTTATTTTGAAGTGATATGTTTCAACTTCAGGTACAGTGGCAGTCATGTGGCATATGTGAAAGCGCCATGAAGGTGATCTCACTACAGGAAGGTAAGAAGTGGGTCACTGTTTGAGGCAGCATTTGTCGCTTAATTTTGTCTTCTGTTAGAAATTAATCATTTTGTATAATTGTTTCATCAACACATTTCAGAACACTAAGGGCCAAAGGTGGTGGTGTGGGGGGAGAATTCAAATAAATGAAACATACTTACTGATAATGATTAACAAGACAATTAAGACAACCAGTGCCACAATAGCCTTCATCTGAAAGAGAAAACAAGTGTTAAACAAGTGATCTAAATTTTATTGGTTCTTGAATCATCTTGAAGATCAGGTGGGCTTGAAAATCACAACCTGTGATATGCTAATTTGTAAGTCACTGGTCACAATTTTAATTATAACAATAATTCTTATACTTGGGTATCGTACTTTTCATGTTTGACTTTGGGACGTCTTCATGTTTCATGAAGACGTCCCAAAGTGCTTCACAGGATTTATTGTGAAGTGGAGTGACTGTTTCACCTCACTGTCTGAAAAATGAGCTGCAATTTTAGAGATGGTTTTGAGTGAATTTTCCTTATGTGCTTTTGAACATTTCCTCTTTGATCTCCTGATACAATGCACCAAAGCCACCTGAGGGTGAACAAAGGGTCAGCTGTCTACCAGCAAACTGTCACAGAAAATTGTTTATTCATCACTTTCTTGGTTTCACAAAAAAAGCACTTTCTAGTTTTCATAAACCTGAGGGATGTAGATATGGTCTTGTACCAAAACTATAATACACTTATTTTGTCAACTAAACATCCGATTTTCACATGAATGATTAGATCCTGATGATGAACACATTAGTTTGATTAATTCCTTTTAGATCTTTGATGCCTCGAGTTGGCCACCCAGGTTTGTTAAAGAAAGAATTTTCTTTTTTGCTACAAAAGGTGTTATTTCTTCATGTTTAGTAATCAAAATAGTGAAAAAAAATGTAGGTTTGCAGCAAAACGTACCTCTCAATAGCACCAATAATCCCCCCCTGCAATTTTCCACAAAATTTGTCAAGCCTCCGCCCACAATTTTTAGCAAATATTTCTGCAAATGTCCATTGACCCTGTTGATAACCCATTTCAGGCTTTGATTCCATTAGTTTTTAATAATGTGGTCATTAAGGCAGATTAAGATGCATTCTCCCACTATTCCATTAGGGTGGATAGCTTTTTTGGAGTAGTAAACACCAGCACGTAATAATGGTCCAAATGTCCTTGTATTATGTGGTACACTTGTTATGGTTCTATTTGGGTTTAAATAAATTGACTGATACATTTTTCAGCCCACTTAACAAGTACCTATTGGAGATTAGAAAAACATTGTTGTGAGAAATTAAGCCAATTCATTGAGTCAGTGGAGATGTTAAGAGGAAAAATCCCCCCCTCCCTTCATTCTGTGCCCAGTAATGGTAGTCTTAGCAATCTCCTTCCCTCTTGTGTATAGCACTCTCCCTACTGATCCCAGCCTCCTTAAAATGCTGATATTGTAGGTACTCCAGTGACCGAAGCCCATTGCTACTAGGGTTGGGAAGTCAAACCAGTAATTACTGGGCTACGGCTTTTTTCTTATGTAATCAAGTTTTATAATACGTGATAAGGCACAATATCAAATGCAAGGATTATTGTTGTTATGGACATGAAAGTTTTAAAGTAGAGTGCTAATTCAACAAAATGAACCTAACCTGTAAATTGGCAGGATTTATTTTTAATTTCTTGTAAAATTATGCCCCCATCTTAACACTGCTTAACCTCAACTTCTACTGCTGAGAGGGCAGGCAGCCAGCCAGCCTTGCTCCCACACCTCTGCCAACGCTATCCCCCTGCAGCTAGTCATCACTTTGAGCTTAAACTGTATTTTGTGCAAAAATAGATCACATTAACATTCCCTACATTTCAACAGCTTTTACATCTGAAAAAGCGTGGTTGGACTTGAACACAATTTCACTGTTATTAGCTGTAAGCCTAATTCCTTACATTAACAGTTGTGCTATTTATAAACTCATGGAAAAAGTCAGATCCTATAAGCAATACAAGATCCTTCAGTAGCTCTACATTCACTTTAATTTATTAATACTAATATTTAGACTTGTTTACGCACATATCTAATTTAAGATCTAAATTGCATTTATATAGCGCCCTTCAAGCAGGATAGCATCTCAGAGCAATGTATTCAGATATCAGAAGGTTATAGACATGGAATAATATTATTGTGCCTTGTCTCCAATGAATGTACTTTGACTTTCACGTATATTTTTTGAATTGACCCTCAGGCCATCACATTCAAAATGACTTTCCTCCAAACAGAGTTACACTTGTGCTTTTTGATAGTATAAGGTTTTGAGCAGCTAATTAGAAAGTTTTTTGATGGCCTGCAAAATGGATTACAATTCCTTGCATGCAATTTGCATGGCGGTCGAAGATTGCTTTTAGTCATTAAATAAATTGTGTTTAATTATTTTTTTTAAGGTTCAACAGCAAATATATAGATGATCATTCCTCAAGATTTGTTTCAAATCAGGATTAATTTGTGCAACTTTTGCTGCACAAATTAATCTTGACAATTCATTTTTAATAAGCATTTTTGCATTAATTGCTTGACTAACTAAGGAATCCTGTTGGAATGGTACTTGCTGAATAATGCATTTCAAGGCCTCAAGGTTACAAAATCCAGGCCAACAAATCCCTCGTGTCCCTAAGCATGAGAGCATTGACTATGTGCCTTAACGGGCTCTGAACCAAATTATATACATAAAGATACATTTGTTACTTTTAGAAAACGTTCTAGAAGCAGAACCTTTTGTGCTAAATTTGGAAATTATATTTACAGACAACATTTTTCAGAGCTACGTTTAATAGAGGCAGAATGAGCAGCTAATGTCACATAGTTGATGGGAAGAATTTTTCACCTCAAAAACATCTGTCTTTTTGAGGCAATCTTTCATTTGTTTAAGTGCATTATCTTTTGAGTAGCATTTAAACCAACTTGACTGTCGGTAAGTGTTTTTCTCACTTTAAATAAATACAATGAAGGTCTCATTCTTTATTTGATGTGTAAATTCTTATTTACTGGAACACTGAACAGAAAGTTAAATATTTAAAGATGACTCAACCATTGACATATTGCAACAGAATTAGTGGCTCTTCACACTGTAACTTTACCTTAGATCTAATGTAAATAAATAAGATAAGCCAAGCATCGACTTCCAACTTACTATGACTAAAAACATACATAACCCCACCTTTAACCTCCTCAGGTGAGAAGAGGAAAAAAAAGTATGGATATTTAGGGGATTGAAGCACAAAAGTATTAAGGGGGAAAAAGGACAGCAGGCTGTCTGATAATCACTTATGAAATCCAGTCAGTTTTAAATCACTAACTGCAATACTGCTTCTTTGCCATTGCTTTACAGTTTAGTTATTCTTGTGGTATTATCATTACAATGAGAGATTTATCATTCCACCAGGTTATGCAACAAGACAGACCCTTGGGCCATTGTGTTTCTTTAATAAATTATGACTTTGTAGAATTAAAGCACAGTGCCCCAAAAGTCATTATCCTGACCTTTCAGGCATGTTTGAGTAATAATTACCTTGGACACAGTGCTCTCTGCACAACACTCACCTTGCACTCTCTCCACCACATCTGTCGCCGCAGTTGCTTTGCTCGGTTGCTGAATGCTGTGGCATTGTCTGATAAACTTTCTGGAAGAAAGATTGAAATAGTGACTGTTTAAAACCAACAAATCTGTTTGATCTCATAATAAATCTAAATTCTTTCCTCCACCTCCAATAAAGACAGCAGAAACTGCTTGGTACTGTTCCACACGCTCCAGCAGACAGTCTGCACTTCAGGATCTCACATAAGCAGATGTCCTCTGTGTGTGAGCCTTGACTGAATGTTTGCAGGCGATTTGCTATTTGGAGAAATTTGAGCAATTCAATCCCGTCGTTGCCAAGATCTTGAGGGGACAGACACCCACAAAGTCAAAAGGACAGTCAGGACCAATATCTAGCAGCATATTTATCTACTCGGGAGATCGATTTCCCTAAATTATACCTTTGAATTTAAAGCCACATGCATAATAATCATTGCATTTGATACACTCTGGAACACTCTTCCTATATCCTTCTACCTTGCCCCTTCCTTTCCCATCTTCAGATTGTGCCTGAAGATCTTCCTATTTAACCATGTCTGCGATCAACCCTCCCTCCCCCCCAACTCGGCATTGTACTCCGCCACTGTCGAGCCTCTGGGATACTACCCTGTGTGAGGGGTGCTATACAAATGCAAATTGTTGTAGTGCCTTATCATGTCGTTGAGATGTCTCAAAGTGCTTCTTAGAATATATTGTAAAGTGTATATTTTGTGGATGAAATGTTATTATCTTAATAAAGCAACTTCAAGTCACAAGTGAAACTCAAGGCTATTTAGCTTGAATTGTATTAATGTACAGCTCAAGGTTATCAATTTCCAAAATTGTAGGTATATTTTATCTTTGAAATTTAAAATGCATCAGTAACACTGTCAAAATGTGGTATCAATTCCATGAAATGGCTTTATAAGTATTTCCAAATTCTTTCTGGAATAGTATTAAGAAAAATGTCCCCTTTACCCCACCACCCAAAAAAAATTGAGCCTGAAGAAACATTAAGTGACCATCCTATAGACTTCTACCAAAACAAGAATTTGTAACCAGGTGAACCCTACAAACGAGGTTTATTCAAACACTATAAGATGGAAGCTTGAAAAGTTAGAATCTAGATGGAAACTTTCAAATAACATTTACTGCACACCTACACTCGAATATGTCACTTAGTTTTCCTACAAATGCTGTACATAAAAGTTCTTATTTCATGGTGAAACTGCCCTCCTCAACCATCTAATTCACATCACTTAAGACATTTTATGACCTGCTTCTCACTTGCTCACAGGCACCGATGGTTTATGAAACATTTATGACTACTGATTCTATCAGACATTTGATGCAGGTAACATTACTGCACTTTGTGTCATTTAACTCATGAAGGAAGCAGCAACTCAGATGATGGTATCACAAATGTAATTGCAATGGAATGTGATAATAAAAAGCTGCCACTAATACCAATTATACTGTTTTCAAAAAGTGTAGAAAATAACTATTGCAAATATGCATTTACTTCTTTCACTTTTTCCCCTCATAGTGCTAATCTTCTCTACGAAACTATCTTCAACTGGGAGGGTGATACATAATACACACACACCTAGCTGTTGTCAACATGTGCTCACCATCGGGCAAATATAAAGTATAAGTCAACTGAGTTCATATCAAGTTAATTTTAAGTCAGACAGACAATGCAGCTTGAACTCATAACTTGCAATCGTCCAGGTGTGAGTCACATGTTCATTTAAACTAGTTGGTCACCCAGAAGATCTGGTACTTGGCAAATGCACAGACAACATTCCTGTGGGAAATTTATGATTGCTCTGGGTGAGGAAGCTTCGGCTGGCTGAAACATAAATCAAAAACGTCTGAATTATTTTTAAAACAACCTTTGAAAAAAAAACTACAGAATACAGAAATAAACCCTGTTCCGTTAAATAAAGTCCTTACATATTAATTTTAGTTTTGAGATATTTTTTCCTGGTCAATTTGGAAATAACGAAGGCGACGAGATTTTTTAAAAATATAATTGATTCAGTTACTTTGTATCCCAAATATTTCTCAATGGGTTAGTCAAAGTGAAATTACACAGATAAGGGAATGTCTGACATTTCTTAATAAGACAGTAAAGAATACGATCTTAATAAGACAGTAAAGAACCCGTTTTCTATTAGAAAGAGGTGCTCTGAATTTTAGTTGCTGGAGTTAGAAAATCTAAAAGGTTATCGTCCAAACAGAAGGCTTTAATCAGATATAGTGGCAGTAATGATTTGGTTAGAAAGCTTGGCTTGGGTTCAAAGGCTGCTCTTTCTTTAGAGGTACTTTGAATTTAACTCAGAGTCCAAAAAACAGTTTACTACATTTGGCTGGTGAACGTGTAGAATAGATACAAAAGGTACTGGGTTCAAGCTTAGGATAACAATGGGTACAATTGGTTAGATTAGTTAAGTTTAAGGAACAGGCTTACCAAATTCAGAGCTGAGTAAGTTATAGAACAAATTCCGTGAGAACCATGATTTCTACAGGGGAATTTCTTTTGAAAATTTCAATGAAACGGCCTCTGACTTCAATTGAGATGATATCTTCAAGACTCGAGCATGTCAAAATATCTATTTCAAAGCCACCACTCCAACACAGGGCGACCAAAGATTTCACACCAATATCAATTTGGAACTTGCATTCATCATTCAGATACTATCCTTCGATAGCTTCTGTGATATACATCAAAGAGTCAAACTCAGAGAGAAGTGGTGGGTGAAAGGTAAAGCTTTTGTCTGTATTCAGTTCAGATCCTGCTCAAGATATTTATAATTTAAACATTTAAAATAAAGTCAATTCAAATAATATGTTCTCATTTATTTTGGTTTGATACTTGGTTATAAATCTTTTTAGTCAATTTACCCTGAAATGCATCTTGTTGGCTAGGCTGATGAGGATAGATGATCTGTTTACTTCTGAGAATGTGGTAGAACCCTATCGATCATGTGTATCATTGGTTTGAGACAATTGGCTGTGGTGGAGCTGCAGGGAATCAAAATCTGTTTTTTTTTTTGAATTACTGCTTGGTGTGTTACACCACATTTTCACTTGATTTACCATAAAGCACTGGTTAGCTTGCATTGCACTATACTAACCAAAATATTGCTCCATTAGTTATTATTACTGTTACAACACTGTTACAGTGGAATCTTTTTCTTTCCTCTGTGTATTTCGCTCTACTGACCAGCTGTGCGTGCCTTCGGAGTGATATTCTCTTCCTCTTCTCCCCTCCAAGGCTTTCTTGCTCAGAGGTTAGACATAATAGAAACCCAAAAGGTAAATGAAACTTGTAGATATTCCTCACCAGATTTGTCTTGTAGCTCATCCAGTCTCTCTCCACGTTCTATCACTCGAGTGATATTCTCCTGCATCACGTCAATAACCTCATCCACTTGGTTCTGGACACTTAAAATAGAGGCAAGAAAATAAAATCAGTATTATCCGACGCTCTTTGCTTGGATTATCATAATTTTTTTTAAAGCACTATGCTTCATCCACTTTTATTGATATCAAAAATTGTAAAACCAGTACATTCTGCATAGTGTTGATAAAATTCACCTAATTTGGTTAAGTTATAATAATTGGTATCAAAAGATAAAATCAAACAATTTCCATTACATATTGCTCATTAACAGTAAATGTAAATATTAATTTAGCACACTGTACCATTTAATAAGATTTAACTTTTTGTGTGAACAGTGAAAATGTATTAAAAAATAGTGAGTAAGTTGTACCATTATTAGCTCATTCACAAATTGGCAACACTATGACATCATTAGCTGCAGCTACAATAATGTCATTTAGCATCTTCCCTGTCCCAGGGAGCGGCAGTGATCAGTACAGGTTTGTGCTCATGAAATAAGTTTGGGGAAGCCAGCATATTCACTGTAATAACTAATGCATTTGATAGTTCTTAACAAATCAAAAACATTCTTCATGCATAGTTGATATCAAGTGCACTACATTTGTAGGCGAATATCACAACCAACTTGTGCGCAGCAAAGTACAACAAACAGCCATCATGAAGTGAATGACAAATTATAATAATAATAATTCTTGTATTTGATAATAGTGCCTATCACATCTTTGAGACTTCTCAAGGCACCTCACTGAATATACTGCAAAGTGATCTGTTGGATTGTTGGCCAGAAAATTCAGTAGCCAACCTAGTGTTGGCTCAAGTCAACAGTAGGTCATTGACTTGAGCCAACGACCTAATAAAACAAATGGAAAAAAATACTATTTACTGAACCAAACAAAGGCGGAATGGACTCTGGCCAACAGAAGTAAAATATATTATTGGGCAGGAAGTACACATTAAATAATGTGGATCAGGAATGAAATCTGACTATTAGCTTCATGTCACCAATTTACTCATAGTTTTGGAGAAATCATAAGTAGCTCTAAGAAAGTGATGTAATTACAATTGAAATACAAGTCTAGTATTTACTGTACTTATGAGAACACAGATAGTGGAAAGGACGCTGAGGGCAACAAAGAGAATTCCACATTTTAAATGATTCAGCTATGAAGAATTGAGAAATATCTTAAATGTAAAAAAAATTGCTCAAGCTTTTGAAACATTTTATTGCATGCAGAGAGATTTTGTGCTCGACCAGGAAGGGGGGCTGGATTTTAAGTGAACAAAGCAAGCAGGTAAATGTAACCTTAAGTAAATTATTCCCATTTGGAGTTTGTTTTATGGAACAGACTGCATAGAATGCACTGTATGAAAACTCAATTGAAACATTCAAAAAGGAAATGGAAATATTTTATATTCAACAGGGGGTAGAGACTAGACGCCAGAACGGGAGGTAGATAAAAACAATCCCTGTGGGTCTTGCAAAATGACCTTTAAATCAACAAAACCAGATGAATAGTCTTTTCTTGTTCCCAAATTCTTATGCTTTTATTTTTACAAGTCAACTACTACTATGTCTGAATCAATGAAGCTTATGTGGTGGCAGTCTAAACAGTTCTTTAATTGCAGACAGCAAAGACTCTTTGACACAACTACTTCCAGTCATTTTCACTTTATGGTGCTGCTCTAGACAGGTAAGAAAAACGTATGAAGCAAACCTTGACTATTCTGTAAGATCAATTTTGGTTTCTTAATTGCTTTTACATTTCCTTTTTCATTTCCCAACTGCAAGTTTTCACGTTGTGCAGTAGATCATCATATTAAAACTTTTAGGCATTGGTGAAACAATAAATTAGAACTAGGTCTGACAATTCACTTTCGCCACCAGCGTTTGAAGCCAGACAGATTTATGAGATTCAAGTCTCCTCTCAGCCTGAGGACTTGAATTTGGAAATTATGAACCCAGCTAACATGAAATAGCCCATAATGTTTCACTAACCATCACTGTACATGAGATGAAGGTGGCCAGTGTAGGAAATTGTGAACAGTACAGCAGCGAAATTCTTTCCTAAGATTGGACGTTGAGACCTAATGACTACACATTTAAGGTAATTTAGAATAATAGTTCCAAGCACATACTTATAAAGCTATTTGTCTTCTGGGCATTTGATAACATTGAATAAGAATGTATATAAGAATTTAATTATCGTTGCTCATAGCACCCCTCTTAAAAGTCAGCTTTAAGAGTTCTTAAGGAGACAGTTGCTTGATCCAATTTATGCTAACGTTGCAACCACAAGTGCTATCATAGTCTAAAATGCAATTTTCCTTATAGATCAAAAATAGTGATCTTGAAGGTTACGACATGTGCTTCATGCCAACTCATGGGATTTCTGCTCCAACAGGATCTAACTGTAGGCATGCAGGTATGGAGTTTTCAGTTTTTATTTTTACCCCCCACCACCCCTTGAATGAATCTGATCAAATTCAGATTTCCACATTCTCCACAATGCCCATTGTAAAACTCTGCATTTTTATTTGGGGGGATAAAAAGGGCCAGATCAGCTCTTAAGAAAGTTCTCCAGTTCTACACATTTATCAAATATGAAAGTTAACCTTTCCTCACAACTCTTTCAGACATTCCAAAAGAGTCCCTTGAACTGAAACAGTAAAAAAACAAGTGATTAAAGGCATGAATTGCCAATGAGGTAATGCCACGTGTGGCATACACATGGTAAGAACTTTGAAGCTTTAATGGCAAGAAGTTAAATATTTGAAAGCGGTCAGTAATGTAGAAAACACACTGAAAAATAACAAACAATTTAAGATACAATATTTAAATTTTGATGTGAAGATTTCAAATAAAATATAATATAAATAATCCTTGCATTTTTTTTCATATCTTCTAGACGTCCCAAAGCGCTTCACAGAATAAACTGTAAAGTGAATTGACTGTATATTTGTGGGGAAACGCGGCAGCCAATTGTGCACAGCAGTGTCCCACAAACAGTCGTGGATTGAAGTGACCGATTTTATTATTTTTTTTGAAGGATTATTATCATGTGGAGTAAGGAAACTTGCCCAAGATTTCACCCTGCTGGGATTTGAACCCAGGTCTCTCGCTTGTGAGACGAGTGCTCTAACCACTGAGCTACAGGACTCTTCAAAAATAAACAATGTGATAGTTTAATTTAATTGCTAAATTCCTGAAAAGCGGCAAAATTTGGGAAAAGACTGAAACGCAAGTTTTACTCTTTTTGCTTCACTCTTCTGTCTTTTAAGAATCACAATTAGTCATTTAAGTAACTATTGCAAACTAGTCAGCTACCACAAGGCGATCTGAAGCTGAAATCAGCCCTTCTCATCCTGGTGTGATTAATGCAAATATAGGCCCCACTAAGTGGGTATTATGCCCAAATAGTACAATTTAAATTCTATTTGAACACTTAAAACTGGAAAACAAACATTAGAGTCTGTGGCAGCAACAGATCTTTACAGGGGTTAAATATTATCTGGCTTTCAATTACCAGTTTGCAGAGCCCTGTGCCCTTGCACAAGCATGCATCTGTTATTCCACTTCAATTGTACTGAACCCAGAGTAAGAATGACGTGGAGCTGAAAAGATAGCTATAATCCTTGCATTTGAAATAGCGCCTTATCATGTCTTTGAGACAGATCAAAGTGCTTCACAAAATGTACTGTAAAGTGAATTGACTGTACTTAGTGGGTGAAATTCAGCAGCCATTACATACAGCAGTTTACCCACAAACAGTTGTGGATTGAGTGACCAAATATTACCATTTCTACTGCATCAAACTAGAGCCTGCCCAATCATTAAGCAAACAAAAATTGCACTCCTGTGAGTTTCTTTTCTGAGGAATAGCCATTAGGAACAGCAAAACAAGTTTTTTTTTAGTCTAAGTTGTCCAACTAACTGTAAGAATCAAACTATTCAGGGAAATAGTCTAAGTTCATCTATTTCTATAGAAACTACAATTTAAAAGATAAAGCAGGATGTAATTTTTTGTAGTCCATATCGTTCAGAGCTTAGAGTACATAACAATCAGCAGCTTCTCTTCATCTCATTTTGTACACGGTTCATCACATTAAACCCAAAGGCAGAATCTTACTAAGAATACTTGTCAAGTTACACTATACCATTGCTGTCATGACACATTTCAAAAAGGTACAAAGGTGTAAACATCTATGCTGGCAAGCCTGCAATGGTACAAACTTGTCTTACTGAACTATGTGAATTCCTTACAGCTCCAAACACTGTTTAACTTCATATGCCAGCTGAAAGAATGTTTTGATAGCCTTCAGAAACTATTTCCTTCTGATGGGCAAACTCATCCAATTGTCTCATCACCTGCTGTTGCCCAAACTTAAAATCAGATCTAATTATTTTCTCAAAAGTCAAATTGTAGCAATGCACTCTGGTGTACCAAAAATACATTTGACAAGATTTCATGATAAACACTTTCATATTTCAGTAATCCCAGTATCGACAGCTGCAATTACAACATTAATTTCATACTAACAGTCATCCCATATTCCTGCATTTTCATACAACATCTTTCATGTCAGGAGGTCTCTCAAAGCGCTTGTAAAGTGTAGTGACTGGGTATTTTGTAGACAAATGATACAGTGGAAGAGCCGACTTCAAAGCAACAGGAACACACAGTATCTGGCATACAAAGTTAATCACAAATTCAAGACTATTTACAGCACGTGTTTCATTTATAATTTATTGTTCATTTGGACCAGAGACTACAGTGGCATACAGCCAAATGCAAACCAATAAAGAGTTTGGAACAGACCTCATTTATCATCTTAAGAAAAGTTTGGGACTCGGGACTGCATGCTTTTCTAATTATTTTCTCTTTCATTGTAAAGAAGGATCATCATTTGGAAATGGTGTTCAATGCAACTCTACTATTTATCACAGGTCAGCAATTGTGGATTGAAGAAGAGGAATACAAAGAACAAAAACAGAAGGGAATGCTAAACCACAGGTAATAAATCTAGATTTCTAGCTGTAAATGATTTTGTCTAGGCAGGATAGATCTAGGGCCAAAAACACATCTGCAACGTGGAAATATGACTAATGGAAAGGATGTCAATCTCAAGATTTATCAGATACAGAAGAACAGCTGTGGTATTAAGGGAAGACCCGCTGTGACCTCAAAGAGTGAAAAGGAGCAAGACAAGATTGCACGCAAGTTAATGTAGTGGAAGATTCTAGTCTGGTCCAGTGATCATAGGAACAGGAGTAGGCCATTCAGCCTGTCCCGACATTTAATTAGATCATGGCTGATCTATATCTTTACTAGAATTCCAATTCCAACGTTCTCCCTGTATCCCTTAATACCCCGACCTACGAAAAATCTGTCAATCTCTTTCTTGACGGTGTGGATGGATCCTGCATCCACAACCTTTTGAGGGGAGAGAGTTCCAGATTTCTACCACCCTTTGAGTGAAAAAATGCTTCCTAATTTCACTCTTAAATGGTCTGGTTCTGATTTTAAGACTATGCTCCCTTATTTTGCATTCCCCCAACATAGGAAATAGCTTTTCTGCATCTACCCTATCAAATCCCTTTAACATCCTAAAAACCTCTATCAAATCGCCCATCAATCTTCTAAACTTGAGGGAATACAATCCAAGTTTACTCAGCCTTTCCTCGTAATGTAACTCTTTTTGGCCTGGTAATCATCAACTGTTTTTCTAGTTTTGAACAAAAATAGCCTCTGGCTCCAGATTAAAATGCTTTCTATTAGTTCTCAGTGAGCTACTGCTTGGAACTTATGTTTGGTCCCTACTTTGTTGAGCTACCATATTAGCAGGATAGGAAGTTGGGGGGGAAGAAATGCACATACAATACAACACCCCCTCCAACTGTAAACAGGTGTGTAGATAAAGCAAAGGCATGTCAGGATAGACTTTGATGCACCATATAGCTGAATAGCTTGTTTGCATGGCCTAAACTCAAACAAATAGCACTGGATGAATAAAACTGAAGATGCCATTACAGAAGGTGAAGGAATTGTTTACTTTCATAATTAAGGACATCTGCAAAGGAAGATGATTGCACATTCAAAACAAAATGATTACATTAATATTAAATTTGACCAGCACAATAGTCACAAAAGTAGCTCTAACTAAACTGAAAATTATCCAGTTAGAAAGATAAGCCATTTTGAATGGCTGAACATACAGTTTGAACTGTTACTGCAAAATCCTCTTTGGTTTGGCCGTGATTAAGCCTCAAGTTTGTATTTGAAAAGAAACAATCACTGTGCAAGTAAAACTCACTTTGTTCAGAAGTTGTGCAAGTTATTTCAAAGTAAATAGCATCTTGCAAAACCTTCACATCGTATATTGTTTTGCCATGAGTTGAAGTTAAAAGTTGCAAAGGTTTTGCAACAGAATGATAATTTCAGCCTTCGCCAATGCATTAGAAATTTAAAAGCTCTTGTTGTATGAAGCTTTTGAATTAATCCTAAAGATAAGGAAAATAAAACATTGGGGTCAAATATATGGGCTTGAGCAATAACGTGTAAAATTTGTGAATTGGGTTAAATGTGCAAACCAGGTGTATGAAGGGAATTACAGATGTCCTCAATTATGAAAGTAACCAACGGAAAAAGATTGCACCTGGTTAACCCAACCAACAAAATTTATATGCGGTTGCTAACCCAACCTACAATAGCCCCTAATATAAAACTGCAAAACTTAAACAACTTGCAAGTTAATAACTCAATACCCTGCATCTGTGTAGCCCTGCATTTCCATTTCATAATTCCATACAGAGATATCATCCACTAAGAAGTTAGATTCTCTTAAAGAATACACTTGAACCCCAGCTAGCTGGACTAAGGGAGGGGAGAGCTGGTCCAGTGGACTTTCCGGTTAAATGCAATTAAATGCCAGTACTGGCATTTGCCAGTAGAAAACAATTTCTACCCTTTTCAGCACAGCACATGATTCTGAATCCTCCTGTACTCTCAATTAGATAATCCCATTGGCCAGAAAGGCAGAAGATAATGAATAAACTGTCTTTTGCTTGTGGGATTCAAACAAGCAGAGTCAAAAATCGATATCCTTAACCACTGTGGAGGCCAGTAAGGGCACTGTTTTGGAATAGACAAGCAAGTGTAAGACATGAAGAAACCACAGAAGTTGCATACTGATGCCATAACAAAATGGCTTGCCAAGGGGGTGGGGGCAGGGATCAAGATACTCTACAGTGCCCCCTACTGTTAAGGGATGAGTGTAGTGTTGGGCAAACACAGGTCCGAATAGGTTCTGATGCACTACACAGTTGAATAGTTTGTCAGCATTGTCTCGGTTCAAACATGAAGAATGGCACTGAAGGGTGGCCAGTGCAAAAAGGCAACCATAAGATCTTTACAGGAACAATTTCTATCCTCTTCAGCACATGATTCTGAATTCTCTTATACTCTTAATTAGATAACCCCATTGGCCAGAAAAAACTTCTATTTTATGTCCGTTGCCTTTAAATGAATTAATTCTTACATTTCTACCATCATATCCCAATAGCTTTCCCATAGCCATGTGGTCTTTTGTGCATTTCTGAGGAACACCAATGACTTTATCATAAAAGTACTAAAAAGTGTAATTACAAATACTTAGGTAGATCACTAAGATAATAAATATTTCAACAAGCTTTTTACACAAGAATATGGGACAGTTGATATGAGCTTCCCCTGATTTTTTTCTGAGTGTCACTGAAATCTGGTAGATCAGAACACACATCTTCTTTCCAATAATAGTTCTGTAGCTTCAACATCTGTTTATGGCACATTCATTGTTCATTACATTAGATCCTCCCCACTCTGACCCAACATAGCTCCTGCCACTTTTAATGTTCTTTAAAAAGTAAAGATGGATTTTTAACACCTAGGTTATGTAACATCCTAAGCTGTGGAGAGAAATTTCACTTGGAGCGACAGATAAACAATTATTCTCTAGCAACTTCAAGCACGTGGCGTCGCATTTAAATGGTTTTCTGGCTGCCAGACCTGCTCCAATGGCCTACGTGGTTCATTCACTGGGAAACTGCATTACTAGCCTGTACTGACTCAGCTACTTATAACTAAAATGAAGAATGAGTTGGGCAGCAATTCTGCAAGGTAAGTGTAGCATAAAACTGTCACAATTCATTAAACAGGTTTCATTACCATTGAGGATCTTGATCCCAAACCAACTTGGGATAGTGCTCATTTGCTCTATGCTTAATTTTTCAAAGGATAGGGTCCATTTAAAGAGATCGTCATCATAAAAATAGCTTTCTGAAAATCCCTAGTTTCAAGAGGGGGGAAAAACAAAACTTTATTTTGTCAAAGCTTCCTCATATGCAACCACTGCAATATCATTCACCTCATTGTATCACACATTTCTAAACAAAAGACCAGTGATGTGGGGAGCCTCTTCATGAAGATCTTGGCTAATTGTATACTTGAGTCACATATGTTGGACTAGCTGGGCCATCGCTACACCTGCCAACATTCCTTAGGCTGGAATGTGCAACTTCCAGGCCAAGGTATCCTGGATTGAAATCCTCTGCTGACAGTTTCATGTTTTTTTTAAGTATGTAGAATATACATCTCCATATCAAAGAACTATTAGTTTAAAGCTGCAATGGGGAAAATAAAAGCAAAATTTCAAAAAAATCATACTGCGTGTGATTTATGTGAAACCTACTGTTTGATCTTGTCATTCTTGGGTCCAAATCGTGGTCCAGTCGGTCCTCTCCTGCAGAGGTACCAGAAAATCCAGGTTAGCAAACGGAGGTGGCTTTCATACTATATCCAAGTGAAGGAGTGCATTTGTGTAGTCTGAACTATGCAAATATTAGATAACATGCTGAACTTTGACCGTGCCTTCAGCTCCCCTCTCGACTCTCTACCCCCTGCTCGCTCCCTCCCCTCACCCTGATCATTTCCCCCCTGCTCGGGTCCTGACCCAACTGTACAGCGCCTTGGGATGTCCTCCCGACGTGAAAGGCGCCCTATAAATGGAATTTTGTTGTTGTTGAACTTTGCTACCACTTAACATTATGATTCCTCTATTGTCCATCCAATAGAGATGTCCCAACTGATAAAGAAGTCATAGACCAGTCCAAAGAAATAATGTGTGTTCACAAACAGGTTGTGGGAGGTCATGCAAGATCAAGAACTTGTTATATTGGGAATTCATTGTAGAGATCACACATACAAACATCAGATGGTACCATGCTGTCCAACTGAAAATGGTGACCAGTCATTAATAGGAAAAAAATATATTTAAGCCTTTACTATTTGTTTATTTACAGATTTACTGCAACAAAAGACCTTGTAATGAGTGAGATGTCAGTTAAGAGCAATGGTTCTTTTTCTGGATGAAGTTCCATTAAGCAGTTTATGGAACTTTGCTGATAAAACTTAACAAATGGGATCTCTCTTGCTGATAATTTTGTAATGGACTGAGAAATACACAATTATAATTCAGTGTAGGTTAAGTGCAATCAATCTCTAGCAGGATTGCAAAATAGAGAAATATCAGCAAAATAATCTTACACATGTGATTGCATAATGGCAGAATAAAAACAAACTCACAAGAAAAAGTCTTCCTCTTCATCTGATTCATCTTCTAAAAGGTTCCGCTGCAAAACAAAGTAAGGATTATGGTTTCTCACGGTTAACCAGAAACAAGCACCACACAATCTCCATCAGGCTGCTTCACAAAATTATTCCATTCCATTATCTACAAGTATCCAAGTCTGTACCAGCCTGAATCCTTGCTTTGTTCATGACTGGGTAAACTATCATTAGGTCCAAGTTTACACATGGTCTCATTCCTGAACTGACAGGCATAAGATCGATTAATAGTACAAAAGCAGGTGTACAGTAATACAAAATAAATCATACACAGTCCAACTTATTCTGGGAGACATTTTCTGATTCTTTCTGTAAACATAATGCTTAAAATTGTTTTAAAAGGCACATTATGTTCAGAATAGTTTCAAGAGATTTATAGTAATGAATGCATTTAAAAGGTCTATAATTATATATGAATGGATACTGAAACAGATTGAGCAATGTGATGAGAATGCAGGCTGAGGTATGGTTGATATTAACCAAAAGGAGCAAACTTGTTTGGCTAAATGTATTTTACCCCCATTCTTTAGATCAGTGTGGTGCAACAGTGGCCCGTGACCATTTACACCATTCCAACTTCCACTCCCACCCTCTCTAGTGAATGTCTTCCCAGTGCTGAGTTATCCAGAGTGGCGAGCTAGGCAAATGGATAAATACATAACTAAATGTGCCAGGATATTGACAGCATGATGATTTAAGTGGCAGTGATGTTTTTATATATATTATAAAAAATTATATATATATATATATATATATAACACTTGTATTCTTTCCTCAGCTCCATCCTTTAGAATTGTTGGCTCACTGAAATAATATTCCTTGAAAATTGAGCAAAGTAATAATTTTTTTTTAAAAAAGGGCTGCACTTAATGACAATACAAGGAAGCTGGATCACGACATGGCTGTGAAAGTTTATGCTAAAAACTAAAAATGTTAATCCATCAGCAGCATTTGTAATGCTTTGTCTGCCTTGTTTTGTAGTTTTCAACTTCACACCACTCGAGATGACTTTTGGAATTCTTTCTCACTTGAGCACCAGGAATATCACAGCTGCGTAAGATAATGAGCAGTTGTTTCCTGATTTTAAAGACTCCAACAGAATGACACTTCTTTACCGTTACACCCACACCCAAAGGAGCAGCTGTTGCCTATGGGAACAAGTTCATCATGAAAAGAGTTATTTTGCCAAGCATTTTTTTTAATTAAGTTAGGAATGCAGAACACAAAATCCAGTTGAGTTCAATAGGGTAGAAACAAATTCTCATATATTATTTCTCAGTCGAAAGATAACTGGAAGGCTGATTTTAAATAAAACAGCAAACTGACAAAGTTAATGAATGAGATAATATGCACAATAGAAACATTTCTTCATAGAAAATCCTATAATGCTGCTTATTGTTGTTCAACACTTGAATGGAATCCATAATATTAAACATTAAAGATCTATAATAATCTCATCCTCAAATATTCACCTTTAAAGTATGTAAATGATGGAGCTGCCATTCTATTCCCTGATCCATGCTGAATTATCTGAGCCAGGTGAATACTGCAAGCATCCCAACTCATCTCAGCTTCCCAGGTTCAATGAAGAAGTTAAAATCTTCAGGAGATAAAGGAGAAAAGTTCCTACTGCTACTAATCATTAAATATTCTATTGCCTCCTGCAAAGTGATGTAGAACTAGACCTGTTATTGCTCCTCTGATGTGGGCAAATATACTACATGGCATGATACTGATCTGTGTAGACTTAAACAATTTACATAGAATCTTTGACATTGAGATGATATCTCAAAGTGCTTCCTTCACACAGCTGACTGGGAGTGTCTATTTTAAACTCATTAACTACCATTCCAGTTGTAATTACAGTAAAATCTATTAATCCTTGCATTTGATATTGCGCTTTTCACGTCTTCTCGACGTCTCAAAGCACTTCACAGAATAGACTAAAGTAAATTGACCGTATATTTGTGGGCGAAACGCGGCAGCCAATTGTACAAGCAGTGTGCCACAAACAATCGTGGACTGAAATGACCAATTTATTTTTTGTTTTTGGAGGGATTATTATTAGGTACAAAGAAACTTGCCCAAGGTTTCGCCCTGCCTGGAATTGAACCCAGGTGTCTCGCTTGCAAGGCAAGTGCTCTAACCACTGAGCTACAGGACTCGTATATCTCGTGTCAGGTAAAACTCCCACATTTGATTGCTGATCTGTACAGACTGAGAGATGGAGGAGGAGGGAGGGTAAAAGAGAAATGAATACTACAATTGGCCTCACTGTATAATTTTCACTATCTGCCAATAAATATTCAGTGAAAACAATACAAAACAACAACAACATTGCATTTATGGAGCGCCTTTCATGTCGGGAGGACATCCCAAGGCGCTGGACAGTTGGGTCGGGACCCGAGCAGGGGGCAAATGGTCAGGGTGAGGGCAGGGAAAGGAGGGGGTAGAGAGTCGAGAGGGGAGGTGAAGACACGGTTGAAGAGAAAGGTCTTGAGACCGGCCTTGAACGAGGAAAGGGAGAAAGCAAGGCAAAGGCACTGGAGTTCCAGAGCCGAGGGGCTGAGAGGCTGAAGGCCCGGCCACCGATGGTAGGGCGGTTGGGGCGGGGGATGTGGAGCAGACCGGAGCCAGAGGAACGGAGGGTACGGGCAGGTAGGTAGGGGGGTAGTAGGTCGGAGGATGCAAGGCCGTGAATGGCCTTGTAGGTGATGAGGATCTTGAATTCGATCCTCTGGGGGATGGGGAGCCAGTGGAGGCGAGAGAGGGTGGGAGTGATGTGGTCCCGAAGCCTGGTGCGCGACAGTACACGAGCTGCAGAGTTCTGAATGACCTGCAGCTTATGGAGGGAGGTGCCAGGAAGGCCGACGAGGAGAGAGTTCCTGTAGTCCAGCCTTGAAGTGATAAAGGCGTGGACCAGTGTTTCAGCAGCGTGAGGGGTGAGGTAGTGCCGTAGTCTGGTGATGTTCCGGAGGTGATGGAAAGCGGTGCCAGTTGTGGCGCGGATGTGGGGAAGAAAGGACAGCTCAGGGTTGAACAGAACACCGAGGTTCTTGACCGGCTTTGAGAGGTGAAGAGTGCAGCCTTGGATGCTGATGCTGTTAGCGCTTGAGGTGTGGAGGCGCTGACCCGAGCCAATCAGGAGGGCCTCAGTTTTGCGCACGTTGAGCTGAAGAAAGTTGTCTCTCGTCCAGGACTCGATGTCGGACAGGCAGGCTGTCAGGACATCGGTGGTCGTGGAGTTGAGGGTAGAAGAGGAAAGGTAGAGTTGGGTGTCATCCGCATACATGTGGAAGTTAACCCCATGTCTGCGGATGATGTCACCAAGGGGGAGCATATAGAGGGTGAAGAGGAGGGGACCGAGGACAGAGCCCTGAGGGACACCGCACGAGGTGCGGGGGCTGGAGGAAAAGCCGTTTGCAGAGACAAAATGAAGACGGTGGGAGGACCTAAACCACTCAAGGCCAGGGCCTTGAAGGTTGAGGTGGGAAGACAAGCGGTGGAGGAGGATAGAGTGGTCGACCATATCGAATGCGGCCGATAGGTCAAGGAGGCAGAGGGAGCTCTGGTCGCAGATGGTCAAGATGTCATTAGTGAGCTTGACCAGGGCAGTTTCCGTGCTATGGGCAGCACGGAAACCCGACTGGAGGGGTTCGAAAAGTGAGTGGGTGGAGAGGAAAGAGCGCAGCTGGGAGGCGACGACTCTTTCGAGAACCTTGGACAGGAAGGGGAGGTTGGAGATGGGCCGGTAGCTTGATAGCTGCGACGCATCAAGGGAGGGTTTTTTCAACATGGGAGTGATGGTGGCAGTTTTGAGGGGAATGGGAACAGAGCCAGAGGGACAGGTTAATGGTGTCTGTGAGAAGTGGGGCAAGGAGGTGGAGCTGGGAGATAAGGAGTGGAGTGGGGATGGGATCCAGGGAGCAGGTGGTGGGTTTCAAGGACAGGATGAGTTTGGTGACAGAGGGTGGGGAAACGGGTTCAAAGGTGTGTAGGGGAGGATGGGTGGGAGTCAGAGTATGGGAGGGAAGGGGTGGGTGGAAGTTGGAGGGGCAGTGACCGCGGAGCGGATTCCCTTGATTTGGGATTCAAGGAAATCCAGCATCTCCTCATAGTGGGTTGGAGGAGATGACCTGCGCGGGGAGGTGGGGGGATGTGGTGGAGAACAGAAGCCTGGGGTTGTTCTTCGCCTCCAGGATTATCCTGGAGTAAAAGGACGACTTGGCCGAGGATAGAGTGGAGCGGTAGATTTTGAGGAGGTCCAGCCAGATTTGCCGGTGCTTTCAGCGTCCCGCACCTGGGGTGCGTTCAGCGTCCCGCACCTGGGGTGCGTTCAGCGTCCCGCACCTGGGGTGCGTTCAGCGTCCCGCACCTGGGGTGCGTTCAGCGTCCCGCACCTGGGGTGCGTTCAGCGTCCCGCACCTGGGGTGCGTTCAGCGTCCCGCACCTGGGGTGCGTTCAGCGTCCCGCACCTGGGGTGCGTTCAGCGTCCTGCACCTGGCTCTTCAGTGAGTGGAGGTGGGTGGTGAACCAGGGGGAGGAGCGAGAGTAAGAGACAGTACGGGAGGTGATGGAGGCAAGAGTGTTGAGTGTGGAGGAGAGGGTGTTGTGAAGGAGGGTGAGAGCAGAAGAGGGGTCAGTGAGGGATGAAGGCTAGAGGGAGAGAAGATAAATGCACAAAGTAGAAAATTGAACATTAGTGAATGCGCAATTCCAAATGTATGTCCCTGAGTAACCAAATTTTCCTCCTCCCCACAGAGGTTTTATTCATTCCAAGACGTTTGCTCTCCATTGTAAATACAAGAAATGTGAAAGAAATTGTACAAGTAGGATTTCCCTATCACATGTATGGCAATACAATTAAATATCGGTACAGACTCCCTTTGACATATGCATTATTAATAGCTTCTAAAAGGGAAGTAGATAATATTTGAAAAGAAAAATGATTATTAAAAATAATTAAAAAGGATACAGGTTAATTGCAGGTAAGCGGAACTAAATGGGTACTACTTTTACAGACCCGATGAACTGGAATGGTCTTTTGTGGTACAAAATTCTATTGACTAACAGCAAGCGAATTGCAATTACCTTTTGAATATAATATTAACAAGCCAGCAATATTACACATGAGCTGTTGGAAGAAATTATAGATTTCATACTGCTATCATTACAACTGGACTGGTAGGTAATGAGTTTAAAATGCAAGACCACTGAATGAAATATTTAATTTTGTCCATAAAATATAAATGATCCGTCTTTTGATGTGGATTCAGTCTATGAAAGCTGAAGATGTTTCCTAGAAATGTTAATTTGGTCACTGGGAAATCTGGACCTGCTGCAAGCTGATAAGTTTTATTCCTTATGGTTTTGTTAATGGGCATTGAATGAATTTTTCTAAAAAAAAGTCGAGTTGCTATAATAGAAGATAATTACATTAGCCATTTTAGCTTGAAGAGCAATTTTTCCAGATATTTATTATGGTTACACGCCTCGCATGTCTCTGACTTTAGAAGGCAATAAATGGTGCCCCCAGTGAAGAATGTGTAGGTTTTAATGAGGAGCTGGAGACTGGAGGGGGGAAGGGGGAGGAGAAAGAGTGGGAAGCAGAAAAAAAATCTTAATTGCTATTCTCTGCTGGAAAGTAGATGGTAGGTTTGGCTGTGATATTACTCCCCATAGTTGAATAGCCTGTACACACTCAGTTTCGGCTTCCACGTGCAGAATGGCTAGTTGGTCAAGGTAGAGGGCAGCAGATCCCATGGCACTGAATCTCAACACAGTGAGTGACTTGAGCTGAGGTAGAAAAAAAAATTGGGAGAGAAACACCAATTTATGGTTGATAATGAACTGGTGAAGGATAACAAGAAAGTTTTGAGCAGCTACTTGGAGGTCAGTCCTGCAACATAGCCTAAATGTTCCTCAGTCCTCTTAGCCTCAAGTGAGATGTGCACTTTAAACAACCATACATTTCATTTTGACCCTTAAAGTGGAAATTGTTGCTCACCATTTTGTAGAGGGCTTCACTTAGGTGGTGAAACTCACTTATTACCAGTCTTATAGTAGTCCACTCAGACTTTTTATCTACAACGTGACATATCATGTAACTGTTACAAGTGGTTCACTCACCCTTTCACTTCTTATGGAACCAGTCACATCATCATCATTTAAATGACGTTTAAATTTAGGAGGCATGGTCACTGTCTTATTGAATGGGGCCTTTCCTCCAATCTGGAGGACGACACACTGAACCTAGAAGACATAAAAAGGTTTCATGAATGATTCTTACACAGCGTTTACTCTGAATAACATGAATACAAAGTTCATCGATAATCAAGAGTACCACACATCAACCCACGTTTGTCCATTTCTATGGCTGAACTTCAGGATCCAGTTTGCGATTTATTTGCGTAATTTACAAACAAGGCATGGTTCTAATTTGGCACTGCCATTGCAAACTGCAACTATGGAAACAATGTTTTACAAGTGAAATAATGACAAAGTTTCCACAATTTACTTGCTTCTATCATAAACTCAGCAAACAACCAACATATAAAACCGAAGTTGTGGTAGGTGGATTACAAAACAGTCTATTTATTGCTGACCACTGGAAGTCCTCAAAAACTATTTTAAAAACAAATTAAAAAGTAGCAATGAGGTTTAAAAAGAATCAGATGGTGCTTGAAAACTGCTGGATTATTTTGTAGTTTTACCATGCGGTGGAACCAATGGATAATGAGGTTAAAAATGTACGAAACTCCTAAATAATATTGGGCAAAAAGTATTGTTTTGTTATATTTAAAAGTATAATTTAATTATGGATTAGATTTGAGAAAGCAAGAGAACTTTTCCTATAAGAAATAGTTCAGTCACTTAATCCGTGGAATTTACCACAGCTGAATTTTTTCACTCCTTATGTAATATCACTTAACTCTTCAAAGTTAGTTTTGAGAATTATATTGGAGCGGATCGCAGATTTTTACCTCTTTTGGAATAAGCACACATTTTCCCCTTCCTGTATTTTGATTGCCCGACCTACTCAAATACCAAAGTATTTCTACATTTTGGCCAATGTCATGTACACCTTATTAAACCAGGGATGTGAACCAATGGCAATATGCAGTTGCACTACTTCAATAGGATTTAGTGTTGTGCAACCCTACACACAATCTGCTTAATCTCAGTCCGGCTAAATCCAGATCTTTTGTCTAGTTGGAATTCCAGTCTCTGCAACAAACCTTCCAGTCGATAATGTTCGAATTAGTCCCAAACCGTGTGCGTGACATTCCTTTCAAAATTTTAACAAAAGGCCACTTAGATGCAGATCAGCTTGTGATCAGATGTACTATTTGGCATTTTGTTAAATGCTTTCAGGTGATTGGAACAAATTTAATGTTTATACTGCATATTTGGTGGTGTATTATTGCAAATTGCCACAAGATAATCAGCATACATGGAGTGAAACTCGCTGAATCCCCACTCATATCAGCTGAAGGCATCATTTTCGGGAAAGGTGAAATTTGCACCTGTGTAGTACAAATACAATTCATTACAGTCCTCAAATGCAATCAGTGAGTGAGTGAAAAACATTTTTCCCACCGTGTCTCACAAACAGATGAGTGACCAATTGGTGGATGGTTAGTCAGGAAACCTGGAGAAACCTCCTCTTTTCCAATAAGGTCTTAGGATCTTTTGTTCATGGTATTATCTCAGTTATACATTTATTACCATAGTTATATTTGAGGCCAAGATTTGATTTGCAAATCATTCTTGAAAGAGGCGAGTGTACCCTCGGGCAAGGCACAGAAATGAGCATTTTGAAATAGTCTCGATGGCCCACTGAAGCTAAAAATATGAAATGACAAGATCTCATGAGCATTTTTAATGGAATTCATTATGTAGGGGAATTAAAAAGTTTAAATGTTTCAATTCCACTTGCAGAACAGATGATAACATATGTGCCAAAGTGGCTTGCAATAATTATTTTGGCTTTGCTCATGGAAACAGAAACAATTCAGTGTACTCCACAACACATCTTCCATTTACAATCACGCATGTGTACTCTGTTATTATAGAATTAATCTGAAGTCAGGATTAAAAGGCACTAATAGGATCAAAGAGGAACACTCACATCGCCATTTCTGTAAACATTTACATCTAGCTTCGCACATATATAATAATACTTGCATTTGATATAGCGCCTTAAGATGCCGAGATGTCTCAAAGCATTTCACAGAATATACCGTAAAGTGAATTGACTGTATATTTTGTGGGTGAAAGGCAGCAGCCAATTGTGCACAGTAGCGTCCCACAAACAGTCGTGGACTGAAGTGAACAATTTTTTTGAAGGAATTATTACTCCTGGAACGACAATCCACCAATCGACTGACAACCAGGTTCCTACTTAATGCTAGGTAAACAGAGGCGTATGGAGTAAAAAAAAACTTGCCCAACATTTCACGCTGCCAGGAATCGAACCCAGGTCTCTTGCTTGTGAGGCAAGCGCTCTAACCACTGAGCTACAGGACTCGATATGGCTGCAACATAGAGATGTGCATATTGTCATAATCCACAAGATTCTTGTAACGCACGTGCACAATTTGTATTAAATCAAAGCCAACAGTGAGCTCTGGAGCATGTGTAACAGATGTAGCTGTTGTCAATAACAACATTGACATGTTAGTGGCATATGACTAGACAGCACAAATTTTGATACTATACAGTAAACTTCTAATAATTCAACTCTGGCTTAACCTGTCATTACCATTTAAGTCATCGTGCCATCAATATCCCAGCCACACATATATATATATATATACATACACACACATATCTATAGATATATATACACATATCTATATAGATAAATATATATACACACATATACATTCACACACACATAACTTCCCACTTTGGATAACTTGTCACTTGACCTTTTCCTTTGGAATGACGAATTATGAGTTTACTGTGCCATCGCTGCAAACAGTGAGTAAACACAACAATAGACTTTCAACTATACACTTTTCACAGAACTAGTTAAAGTACTGTTGCATGTATTAAAATGCAGTGACAGATCAAAATCATCAGAGCAAACCAGGCCAACAGAGCTCAAACAGTTACAATGTCGTCTGAACCCATGTCCACGTATCTGGTGACTATTTGAATGTATAAGGAGGAAATGGAGCTGGCAATACAAAATGATAAGGTATCACAAATAATATTTTATTAAAGGTCTTTTAAAAGCCCAGGAACACTTGTCATATGGCATGGTCAGGTTGCATAAATAAAGCTGGACAGACGAGATTTTCTTCTGCAATTTACTAGCTATACTTTATTTCCTGGTTGCTATTTATTAGATTACTTTCATGCAGATACTATTTTCATTTTGTTTTTGGTTGATCCCATTAATATTCTAATTGTTGAGGTCAGACACATAGGCTCAATGGTACTTCTTGAATAAGAGAATCCCCAACTGCCTATTTCCAGTCGGTTGGAACATTTCAAACTACACGTCACAAATGCGGTTTTGTTTTTCATGCGCACCACTCCATGTGGCTAGTGGAAGGAGAAAGACCAGTACGTACAGGTCGCAATGCAAATACTGTTTTTATTATTCAGAACTCTGTAGCTCGTGTCCTCTCCCGCACCAGGCTCCGCAAACCAATCACCCCTGCTCTTGCCCGGCTTCACTGGCTCCCCATCCCTCACAGAATCGAGTACAAAACCCTCATTCTCACCTTCAAAGCCCTCCATGGTCTTGGTCCCCCCCTACCTTTCTGACCCCCTAAACCCATCTCAGCCTGTCCGATCCCTCCGCTCAGTGGACGCTGGCCTGCTTCAGGCTCCCCGTGGTTCCCGCTCCACCATTTGGTGGGTCAGCATTCGGCATCTCTGCCTCCACACTCGAACTTTATCCTGCATTCCCTCCGCCTCACCCCCTCTCTTGCCTTCTTCAAGTCCAGTCTAAAGAGCTTCTCTTCAACTGTGCCTTCAGCGACCAACCCACCACCACCCCTTGACCCCAACTCCCAGCTCGGGTCCAAAACCCCCCCGACTGTCCAGCGCCCTGGGACGTCTTTGCAACGTGAAGGGCGCTAAAAAAAAAAGGGAAATGTGTTGTTGAATCACTAATAAAAATGACAAGTTATCAGAAGCATGCAACACCACCAGTTCGGGTGCGGATCCCTGACTGTCCATCGGGATGTCCTCCTGAGGTGAAAGGTTGCCATACAAAATGTAATTTTTTGGGGCTGTTGTTGTCATCGTCGTCGTCTTAAAAAGTGCAAAAACTTGCCGGGCTCACAAGATATCCCGGGTGATTAGTTATCAGAGGATCAGAATTAACATTGCTTATGAGAAAATAGGGCAGGATATTAGTGTGAGTGATGATTTAAGTGTGTGTGTGTGTGTGTGTGGGGGGGGGGGGGGGTGGTGGTTGACGACGTCTCCACCAGCCTTAATTAATTGCACAATTTCGCTGGGCAATTAACCAACGAAAATTTAATAATTAGGGCCATGACCAATGCCTGGTTTGCAACGACATAATAAGAGAGGGCACCTGTCATTTCCTCTGCACACATGGATTGCAACCCACACAGTGCAGACCAACCACACACCAAATCGAAAACAACCACTGTCCAAAATCGTTGCTGCCTCTCCCTCTGCCCTCTGCCTCACGCCGCGGCCTCTTAACGCCCCATCACCACCATTACAAATGGGCCGCCAGAGAAAAGGAAAAGAAACATAACCTCTCTCCCCCACCACCCTCCTCCCCCCCCCCACCCCCCGCCCTCCGCCCTCACTCCCTCCCTCCCTCCTTCCCGTTAAAAAACAAGGATCAGAAACACCTGCCTCTCGCTGCTCAGTACGGCGGAGGCAACTGCTTGTGCGAGACGACCCTCTCGGCTGTCTCCGAGGCCGGAGTGGGCCTGGGCCTGTGTGTGTGTGTGTGCGGACCGGTTGCTATGTGCGGGCCGCGGGCTCTCTCTCTCGCTCGGGTTGTTGGTGGCTGTACCCCCGCGTCCAGTTTGAGGAGGGGGGGCGGGAGGGGAGGAGGGAGGCCTCGTCCTACCTTTCTGCGGGTCGCCGACTCCTCTCAAACGCTCTGCTGCGGGGCCCTCACGACCCGCCCTTCACACCCACCCACCGAGCGAGCGAGTGTATTTAAAGGGGAGGTGGAGGTGGGGGGCGGAGGTGGTCCCAAAAGCTGTTGCAGGTCTCCGGTCCCTTTAACTGACCCGCAACCCGTCGCCGCTCGTGTCGCGTCGCGTCGCGTCGTATCGCGAGAGTACAGCCGCCCCCGGTCCCGTCCGGTCTCCGTGGCAACCGGGTCCCCTCTGGGCTCGAAGCGCGTCGGTCAGCGCGGCCCCCGTCCGGCCCTCACCCGCGAGGTAATGTTTTAAGACAAAATAAGTCACGTAAAGATGTGACATGGCTTCCCCGACCCCCCCCCCCGACCCTGGAGTCGGGAGTCGTGTAGCTCAGCGGTTAGAGCGCTCGCCTCGCAAGCGAGAGACCTGGGTTCGATTCCCGCCCGGGCGCAACCTTGGGCAAAGTTTCCTCCCTCCACACACATACATACGTGCACACACACGTGCACACACACGTGCACATGCATACATACATACATGCACACGCGCGCGCGCGCTCTCACACGCCTGATGATAATCCCTCAAGAAAAGGAACGCGCTGAATGCGGGGACGCCCGCGTTCCGCCCCCAAATAAACGGGCGGTTCACGTCGCGGTCTATTCTGTGCAGCTCTTCGTCGACGTCTCCCGAAGACGTGAAAAGCGCTACGTCGAACGCAAGGATTATTAGCGCTGCCGTCCTTCCGGTCTGTCCGCTCCCCTCCCTCCGCTTCATGGCCCCCTCCCCGCACTTCCCACCCCACCATTGGTGGTCGGGCATTCAGCATCTCTGCCCCCACGCTCTGGAACTCTTATCTCACCCTCCCTCCGCCTCACCCCCCTCTCTTGCCTCCTTCAAGTCCCGTCTAAAAGACCTTTCCTCTTCGACAAAATATGCGAGTTGTTATAAAAACCGACTAGCTAATGCGGAACACTGAGAGCTATTGCTAAATAGCTCTCCGAAATTGACACTACAGGACAAAATTAACACAGGGATGAAGAATCAGACCAAAGCGATCAACAATGTCGTTGCAACAATGTTTTTGTAAAGCAATAATGTTTTATTGCAACATCAAATGACAGTATTTGATAAACAAATAAGGTTTGACAAACAGCAATAAACAATAGGACTCTTATTGTTTTGTATTTGACCCTTCAACTGAACAAGATGTTTTCTGTTTTTATTTTAAGAAACCACTACATTCAGGAGAATAAGAAAAGATGGTGTGGAAGAGGAGTGGAATACATTCTGACCTCAGCTCACTCACTACTCATGGGTTATCTGATCAACCCATTCACGGGTTGCAGATTATATTTCCTTACAACTCGTCATCATATATACTCTCTATATTTATGCCAGTTGATTAGATGCTCAACACGGTCAGCTTCACACAGGAGTTGATAAAATGCCTACCAGTAAACATTTGCAGTAGCCCAAAGAATAATTAGAAAGTGAGGATTATTCAACCATATTCAGAGATGTCAAGTCAGCTGTTTAAAGCTTGTAATTCTGATATTTTCTGAACGCAATAATATAAATTATTCAGCAAGAGACCTTAAAAAATCTCAACAAGACCATATTCAAGCAAATATCAAAGTTTTTTCCCCCTTTATTCAGATGTGTTGAAAAGAGGTAAGTTCCTGTATTTGTGAGTAACAAATTGGTCTCTGTAGCTGTAAACTGGCATAACATACAGAATCACTTGTGCTGGTTAGAGTGGAAATAGCTTTGCATTGCTTGTATCTTATGGGATTTCATTGTTTATATCATACAAGGGCCAATATTTGCAATGGGGAACTGGAAATTACCTACTAATGTTTTACACAGGATACAAATCTCTAAAGCAGACATTTGTTGGCATCGTCGTTGCTTTTAATTTTGATAAATTACTTTGACAAAAGAACAGGAAGAAAAAAAGATCAGCAGCTCGTAAGCAGCTTTTTTCTTTAAAGCTTCTTTTGCTGCATTCCAACTCTCCAGCTGTTTATGGAACAATGTTTTCTGGGGCTGGATTCTAGATGTTTCTTTTGTTGTCGACTTTGGTATTAACTCACGGAGGTATGCATAATTTGTGGGAAACATCAAAACAATGGGTTACCTGGTGCAAACTGGACTCATATCCGTGACTGCGAACTATAGCACTGAGGTGCTAGGACAGATGTGGACGTATTGTAGCACAGTTGTCAGGGTCTGTAGGTATATCTCTTGACTCCTAGACTGTTATACAGCATCAAATATATCTTGCACCATCAAAAACAACTACTGTTGGCTATTCCAAAAGAAAATATTAAATAATAATAAAAAAAAAAATTCACCAAATTACAGTTTCTCTCAAGTTTTCTGTCGCAAACATTATTAATCACCTAAAGACCTGAGTGAGTATTTTCACCAAACCTGGGCGAGGCTGGATGCTGTTAGGATAATTTGTGTGAAATATTTTGTTACGGAGAAAATAACAGGAAGCCAGACGCGGTTTTTGTTTCGCTGTGATCCCGGCACACGTCAAAGCAAACGATTTTACGAGTCACATCACGCGCATAAAAGTCACACCCCTGGTGTTAGCACGCAAATCTGTTCACAGATCACGTTGCACGAGAAGGGTTTCAATGTTAGATGCAGAGATCTTAAAGATGTTGAAGAGGATTGTAAATTACTTTTGATCTCCAAAATGGAATTCCTGTCATCTAAGAATGGATACAGTGTTGATGTATAAAGTGGTAGAACAACAGCAATTAGAGATATACTTCATGGAAGGAGGAACAGTGATGATCTGGAAAGTGAACATATGACTTGTTAAATCAATGCTCCAGGCAATTGAGATCACAGGTCTATGCTCTCTCCCTATTTTGTCCTCTTCTATCCTCTTGCCTGAACACAGTGACTCATACCAATATTCCATGCAGATGGTATTGCGACTTCTCATATCGTTGAGACGTCTCAAAGCACTTCACTTTATTATGAAGGTCAGTGACTGTGTATTTGTTGGTAAATGTAGCAGCCAACTTGTGCAGAGCGATACCTCACAAACAACCGTGACCTAAACAAACACATTTATCTGGAGGATTGTTGGCCAGGACTTGCACTGTGCACTAACAGTTTTCCACTATCTCAAATGATCATTCTTCATTTGTGAGCTCATGCAGCGACTGGTAGACTAATTGATCATGTGGGTGGAAGATTCATCATCATTAATTCTGACCTCACTCAACAATACAAACACATATGCTTCCAGCAATAGTTACTGGGAAACAATCAGCAGCTAATACTGTTGCTCATTCTCTTCATCCCATTCCATACAGCACAAATAATGTTAAGGTAAATTGCAGCTTTATGTTTCCTTGGCAGAAACTAACAAATATTAGTGATCAAGAATGGGGTTTTCATGCTTTCCATTCCTCAATTCTAGCTGGTATATTTACCTCTCTCTCCCACCCCCCTACCCCAATTGTGCAAAGGAGTAAGTAGTTTTTCTCTCAGGCTTTGTCCTTTGCCTCCTGTCCCAAGCACTGATTCCTCTTCCTTCATTTAGCTGGTTAGTCTCACACTCTGGGGGCCCCAAATCTTGGTTCTTGCCAACCTGTGCCTAATACTTTCCGGAATTAGGTAAGCAGGCTGCATCCATCCAGGGAGAATGCACATGCCATTCCAGCAATCTATCCCTAGGATTTCCATGTGTAGGTGGGATGCATGGCTTTCTCAGTTTGGTTTGGATACTCTTAAGCACGGTGATGGGTACCGCATGCGTTACACACCCACTGACCCCCTAAAAAAGTCCTTGGGACATGTTTCTATCACCAAGTGAGCGTAGACTAATTGTTGCTACTTGAAGAATCACAGCCGAGTCCAGTGCTGCCCTCGTCTGATGTCCACAACCACACAGCTTCCATCACAGAGTTTTGGTTAGCAATCACTAATCAGAACCAAATTTGATTTTTCCCTCCCTAAATCAGGGACTCTGAGGCTAATTGTGGCTCCCAGCTTATGCCTTATTTGAGATCAGCTAACTCAGCACAGAGCGAGATTTTAATCACTGTATTTGTGTGTCTTATTGCTGTGCTGGGTCATCAAGGGACCTGCAAAGTTTTCTCCAATAAACCAGTTCTGGCATTGACTATCTAAAGATGCTTAAGTGTAATGTATTATAACCTCTGTATTAACTGGAAATGATTGATGAGAAACACACCGATCTCACACATGGCATTTCTGAGTTTAAAGCCACAATGGGAAATGATTCATAATATTCTCCGGATATAGAATTTCCTCATAATGAAATGCAGATTATTTCTCAATCATCTAAAGTAATAACAGTGCAATCATGCATGAAAAGTTCCGACAACCAGTGTCCACAGCCACTGAGCAAATGGTGAATGACACTAACAATGATTTTAATAAAAACACTGGCATGTTTTCTATTTCAATATAAAAAGCACAATTTTATACTATAAGCAAAACTCTCCCAATAATCCTCGCATTTTGATTGAATTCACAAAACTTAAGTGATCTGCAGCCTGAGTTCTGAGGACAGTGAAAATAACTGTTGGACTTTCCCTAACAGTTTAGGGCATCGGCTGAGCAATTTAGTTTGATAACTACGGAACCTGTAGCTTTGCCTAAAAAAAGTGCTACTACACTTGACAATAATTGGTGTGAAGCCCTTTTGAGATGTTTCAATGTGTAAGCTGCTGTAAAAATTTCTTGCCTTGAAAAATTATTTCATGTTTTACTAACTACAATTTTCATTAACACCCATCAGCTCGGCTCAGTCAGCAGATTGTGGGTTCAAGCCCTGGGTTGATACTCCGATGAAGTGCTGGGGGCATGGTCCATTGCTGGAGGTGCTGTCCTTTGGAATGAGAGGTCAAACCGAGATACAGTTTGCCTGCTCAGGTGGACTTTAAAGATCCTATGGTCCTATTTGAAAAGAGAAGGAAGTTTCCCCTGGTGTCCTGGCCAGCAATCCCTTAATAAAATTGGTCACTGGTTTTGGGACCTGTTGCTGTGTGCAAATTGGCAGTTGCATTCCCACAAAATACAGTCACTACACTTTTCAGAACATCTTGCGCAGTGCTTTGAGACGTCCTTCTGCCGTGAAAGGCACTGTATCAAACATATGGACAG